GTGCACTGAGCCTGGTTCGTGAACAAAAGACAGTTATTCAACACCGCACAATCTGGGCTCAGTTTACAAGGTTGTAGGCCTGGCTGAAATACTCGGGCGGCAATGAAGGTCACCTGTCAACTTAGAGTAGTGCCTAAAGATTACTTCGTGCGGTTATAAACGACCCTTAAATGAAATAATGAATTTTTGAAGGATTTTGAAAACGGAAAAAATGATATAGTCATGCCGGCCCAGCATCATCAACATTGAAAAATGGCCCAGAATGAAGTGGTTAAAGGTGCAGTTTTTCTCCATAAATTTTTTGCACGTTTTCTAAAGTCAAAGACTGGCACACTCATTCATCTGAGCAACTTTAGATTGAGAGCGTATGTAGTCCACCCAGGGGGCTGCTTAAATTAAATCAGCACGGTGACGTCATTTGCAGTCACCTGACATGAGATTAAAGTTGCAGTCTTTTCCCATATGTTTTGTACACGTTATTCTACAACACACTATTATCAATCTTGATGAGCGAGTAATCCTCAACTTCTGCTCAAGATTACTCCCAGAATGAAAGGGGAAATCGTATGTTTTTACTCTGTAATATTCGATTTGGAACATACGCAAGAGTCAAAATGTCAAGTATTTTTTCATAAAAACTTTCGGTTTAGACGCAAATCATGTGACATGAACTTAAAGGAGCAGTTTTTCTGCATGTGTGTTTATTGCCCATTGACATTTTACACGTTTTCAAGCCACCATTTTGGTATAACTGTTTGATGTTTGATCATCAAAGTTGCACCCAACAAAGACCCTGATAAAAGAATTATTCCATATGATGATTTCATGATGATGTCATCTTTTGATTTTTGTTTATTCATTTTGGTATATTTTATTTTCCCCACAGGTTTTGTCTATGTTTTTCAACGGCCAGTCTTCGGCACTTTTGTCGATGTGACTGACTATATATTTAGGTGTACACTCTTAGTCCAGCTGCTGCAGAGGGTACAAGAACAAAACCGTCACAGATCATAATCACTAATGCAATTATTGTTTTCGAGTGTATAGTTGTTAACCACAAAGAATGTATTGTTATAAGTTCTTTGGATTCTTGATTTCCTTCCTTGATTTCTTTTTTATTGTCCTGGTCTGTATTTTAGGCATTCGTCATTTTTGTAACTGTGGTTCGTGAGGCTTTGGATGATTTCAGACGTTTCTGCCGTGATCGTGAGGTCAACAGCCAGCAGTTTCTGAAACTAACACGAGCAGGCCTTGTCAGAGTTCCTAGCTCGGAAATCCAAGTGTCTGACCTGGTGGTTGTTGAAAAGGTTAGTTTAGATTTGTGAGGAGGAGATGCCTTACCCTGAGTCCGTGATCGTTTCTCAAACCAGTTTGCAGATCCTGGTTCAGTAAAAGAGGGAACCTCATAACCCTGTCAAGAAAAGCCAAAATAGGAGGTTTTCGTTTTGTTAAAATGCCTACTTATGGCCATGCAACTGGACAAGCTGAGATTTGAAAAAAAATTGTCTTTTTTCTGCTTCTTGCCTGGGTCCCCTTAACATTCACATGGACATGGATATTGGATTTATTCTCTTCAGCTTTTTCTTTCCATTTACATATTTATTTTATTGTTGAAAAATCTTCTGAACGGTTTGTAATCAAAGACATCTCAGTGTTAATGAAAACAATGTATAGATTGCACAAAATATTGTTCAAGTTGTCCAAACTTTATGTCACAAAGAAAAGGGTTCTCTGCTGCAATTAAGTAATTTAATTTAGTTGTTATGGTACATAATAATGACTTAATTTTGCACATAGCATAATATATTCAGACCGACATTATGTATGCTAATCTCCAATGTGATGCCCTTACGTTCTGTATTAGGCCAATGATGTCATAAATGAATGTGCAAAACAAATTTTGATTGGATGCTGATCGTAGTTGAACTCGTGTTCAATCGAAGGCAACTCCGGAGGAAAAAAAAATTGCCAGGCGGAGTACAGCAGTGCTTCAGCGCACGACAAGAGTTGGTGTACGCAGGGGCTAAATAAACTTTCCTTTCGTTTGGTCAAAATCATGGTATTTATATGTTGTGATAGAATTTTGCAAGAAGTCTAAGTTGTTCGCAGATTTCAAATAAATGTCGTTATCCATTAGAAAAAAAGACGGATGGAAGATTCAAAATTGTAACTTCGACGTGGTCGCCGTCCTGGAAAAGAATCTTGATTTGATACCAGGGTCTTTTGAATATATCAGATGCCACAGTTCGGGAGTTGAATTTGTTTCTTGAAAAAATAACCAGAGCACAATTCATTCGAAATCCAGTTTGATTTTGTATCCTGTAAATTAAGAAATTCCCATTCGAGCATACTGATTTTGCTGTTTTCCTACGAAAATGTGTTAAACTGTTGATATCAAAGTTGCTCATGAATATGGGACGGAGAAGGAAATTCAATACTTGTATTAATGTATCATTTATACACGGAAGTACTACGGCACATAGCGAGCTCCCAATATGTCTCAATGTGCATTGACCATTGCATATGCTCATGTACAGTACATGTACATGTACGTATGCACATGCATGTACATATCCCGAACCGAAGTTCGGCAAAAATTTCTTAACAACCGTAATGACCCCATCGTTTAATAAGTGGTGATACTGCAAATGAGGAAACGTTTTTTCCACAGACCTGCTCTCACTTTTCATGAGGTCCAGAGAAATCATGCGTATTCATGATGCTTTATGAGGCAATGACAAAAGAGCACATGGTCGCAAGCCTCATTAAATCCTTCACACTTCAGCGCACACCTCTGTTAAGTCAGCGGATTACCCCCTTCTTAGCAACAGCAGACCGATTAGAAAAAACGTAGACAATACGCAGAAGAGCGTTTCGTCAAGTTGGGGATGATGCCCAATGTAGATGACATATTCGCACCTCTGATGTCTGGGCTGTTTCATCTTCCTGGGCCTATTTCAAAGGGGTTTCTGTGATAGATATTTGTAAAGACATGAAAGATGAATGTTGGAAGACCCCTACCACATTCACCTCCTGTTATCTCAGTGATGTTTTGCAGGGGGGCCATGCACATGGTCTGGCTGTACTCTGGATGGAGTTGCAGTAGCTCCACTTCCGGCTGTCCCCTATCCTCCCTACTAAAAATTGCCTATTCAAACCAATTGATTTTGAATTGGATTTAATTGGGTCCAATTGGCAATCATTTCATGCTCAATTGGTGTCTGTACATAATGTACAGCATGAGCATAAGAAAAGAGGGCAAAAAAGCAAATCCGAACCATCATCCTTTTGTGACTAGAGCGATCACTTTTTCTTTAAGTAGGTTCCCGAAAACTAAAGTCAAAAATACCAGTCATGGTAATTTTCATGGTAATCGGTCAATATTTATCATGGAACAGCAGAAGCGGTCTTCTGCTTTTGACCTACCCCAAACAGTCACTAAATATGCAAATTCATTTGTGTCTGATTCAATTCACTAAATATTCTGATCAACCGTAGTGCGCCGTAGTGATGCATAGCAGAATGGCCGCCATGTTCGTCCTTCTTTTCCTTAACGTGATTCTAAACGGACGTGTCTTTTTGACATCTTCAAGTTTATCGAGTATCCATTTTGCTACACACCTTTGTGACATTCTGATCAAACGGTAACGTATTGTAATAAACATACATTCTATATTTCTGAGTTTATGTGTATATTTTCTTGTTTTGGTGGTATATTTTCTCTTTTTGTATGTGTGCATTTTATATATCATTGACTCTACGCTGTTACTACCAGGCGATACATAGGGCCAAGGGGCGACCCTGGGATTGCTGGGATTCGCAAGGAAGTGCGAGCGTTCCGAATTTTGCGACCCCACATTCCCCCTATAGACCGACAGGAGTCGGTTTGCGGAGGATCGAGTGGCATCTTGCTAAACTTGTGATCCCGCGGCTAATCACTACTGGCAATACCATCTTTGGTTCAGTTCAGGGTTAGCCCTCGCCACGCTTCAAGGGCCTGAGCTACAGTGCGTGCGATATCTGTATGCTCAGTTCCCCAACGTAACACCGAAGCATCGCAGTCAACGATAGTGCAGAGTGGCGCTGCACTCTGGGTTGAGATTCCCCGCTTGCTGGGCCTGGGCGCAACACTTTTATGTCCCGGTCCCGAAGCATTTCAAACAGGTGACGCGGGTCGACAACAAGCTGTCATGGGCATGGCTCACAAGTCTATGCGCCATAGCGGCCCCACGCCGCCAACACTGGCTACATAGCCGCAACACCCCTGGTGCCATTGTCTTCAGACACCCTTTCAATCGGGGCACCCCCCCCAGACAATACCGGGCCTTGTGGGCTCATCACCACCTGCGCCCGTGACAACAGAGCCCACCGGCCTCCTGCGCTGTCGGGGTTTTCGATCTCCATATGTCACCCCGTCTTCCAGCTTCTTCCTGGGCCTTTCTGAGAAGACTGCTTCTACCCTTGCGGTTCACCAGCCCCATCCTGCTGTATCTTTACTGCAGCCTGGGCAGGCCTCCAATGTCCCAACTCACCAGGCGTCGACCGCTGGCTCTACAACCAGTTCACCCATATGCAAGAAATGCAAATATTCTTCGTCTTCTTCGTCTAAGCGGAAGAAGTCTCGCTCCTTGCAGAAGGAAGATGCATTGGCCGACATCGTGTCAGCAGTCCGCATGCTCTTGGAGAAACTCTCTTCTATAGCCAGCCGTCTAGAGCCCACCTCTGCTCCCGCGGCGACTGCCCCAGATCCAGACCCTTTGCCGGCGCAACATGATCCGGATCTGCATCCGCACCTGCATCCTCACCCTGATCCACATCGGCACCTGGATCTGTATCGGGATCCGCATCCGAACCTGTGTTCATTGGCAATCCAATCTTCATATGATGGTTTCGCCCCTTCAACTTATCCAGGTTCCGGCACAGACTACAGTCACCTCCTGCTCCAGCCCCTGGCCACCCAACAAGACTGCGGATGGAGTGGGATACGCCCTTGAAGATGAAGATATCTCCTCTGCAGCCAACGTTAACCATTCTGAGGCATGGCTCCGTCTTCTTCAGAAGGATGTGATCCACATATTAGGCCTGCCTTCCAATCAGTCTACAGCTGAGGCCTCTTCACGTGCTTTCTTCAAGTGCCATTCCGCTAGGTTGGAGGCATCAATGCCGATTTTTCCCGAATTTCCATGTGACCGCTCATGCGTTGAGATGTTTAAAGTTCTCGCTGGTGCTAAACAATGGCGTTGATACCCACCCAGGGCCTCGACTTATTTCCAGTTTGCCAGGGAGGACTTTGATAATTTTTTCTCTGTCCCTAAGATTCCAATGGAGGCTAAAGATAAACTTTCTTCTGACGCTCAAAAACCAACAGGAAAGTCTCAATTTAAAGACAAAGACAAGTGCTTCGTCAAGTGTACTCTCGCTAAACTCGACAAAGCCTCATGACATGGCCTTCACTGCAACGCATTTACAGCACTCCTCTCTGAGTATTTGGCCCGAGCGTGTGACGAAGATTCACCAGTTACCCCTGACCTGGCAGCTGTCGCAGTTCAAGCACTCGATGAGAGCGTCAACTCTATCTTCAAGCAGTTCGTTCAGATCTCCATTCTAGCCACTTCTGCACATAAATCCAACGCTTTAGATCCCATGAACTTTCCCTGTGAGGGAGTCAAGTCAGGATCTTCCTCTTTATGGCAAAGACCTTTTCGCGGGGAAGTTCATGGAGATGATGGAATCTGAAGACATTGCACGCCAGTGTAGTCGAACAGATCTACGCTGAAATAGAGAAACCGAACATCGATCTTTACGCCTCATCAGAGAATGCTAGTCTACATGCGACATATGTGACTCTAGATTACGACATTTTACTTCATGGTGTTCATAGCGAGGTTTGTCTCTGACGGAAGTTTCTGTGACCTCTGTAGCTGACTTCTGCATGCACCTGTTCAAATCAGATCTCCAGGTTTCAACTATCAGTAACGACAGGTCAGCCATTGTGGCTGTACACGATGGCTTTCCAGATGGTTTGACAGTGTCTAACAATACTGCTCTTAAACATCTACTCCGGGGGATGTTTCTTGAGCGTCCCCCAACTGAGAGACTAATTCCTCCATCTGCTTACTAGTCCTCCCTTTGAGCCTCTCAGCGATGCATCGTTCATTAAGTTATCGGTGAAACTGGCATTCCTGCTGGCAGTTACTACCTCATGGCGTGACAGTGAACTGAAGGCATTGTCCATCTCAGATGGCCACATCCGATGGGAACCTCATGGTGTTCGTCTCATCCCAACGCTAGGGTTTCTCACCAAGAACCAGTTTCCTTCCATCCTCCTGACATTTTTGTACCAGACATTACCAAACACATTGGGACTCCCGACAACAAACCATGGTGCCCAGTGCGGACTCTGAAATGGTACCTGGCCAAAACCAAAAAACTCAGAGGTACAACTTAGGAGCTTTTTGTCACCACAATAAAACCTCACCGAGCTGCAACCAGAGACACTATAGCTAGATGGGCAGTTTCAGCCATCAAGTATGCTAACCCAGATTGGCCAAACTCTGTGGACAATGAAACACGACACCTCATCAGGGCTCATGATATCCAAGCAGTTTCCACATCTTGGGCCTACTTCAGGGGTGTACCAATGGAGGAAATATTCAAGGCAGCATGCTGGAAGACCCCATCTACCTTCACACATGCTACCTCACCGATGTTCTACAAAAGGACTCCGCACATGGCAGAGCGGTCCTAACATCAGCCACATCAATACAGAAGGATTCCTCATCAAAGTGGCCCACCACTAGAACGACATAACAACCCCATTATGTGGTGAGTCCGCAATAAATTTGGACAATTTCTTATTCTTCTGGCATTCTCATTATTTAGTGCGTCCTTGCTGCACCCCCCCTCCAAAGGCTCGGTGCTACTCTGCATATTTAGCGACTGTTTGGGGTAGGTTGAAAGCAGAAGACTCCTCCCCCACAGAAATGTGGGTGAGGTCTGCTATTGAATACCTACCCCAGACAGTCCGCTCCCTCCCATCCTTCCCCACTTTTGGCTCAGACAGTTTAAATACCGGAAAAGAAGGACAAACATGGCCGCCATTCCACTATGTGTCATAGGACATGAGGGCGCACTACGGTTGATCAGAAGATTTAGCGAATTGAATCAGACGCAAATGAATTTGCATATTTAGCAACTGTTTGGGTAGGTATTTAATAGCAGACCTCGCCCACATTTCTGTGGGGGAAGATTTTGCTGCTTGGTGGGCTGATTGACCTTTGACATAAGCCAAGATAGTGCATCGCCTTTTTCATTCGATACTCATGAGCCCCTCCACAGAATGGCAACACTTCAAGATTTTTTTCTCCATACCAAGGTTTCTCAAAAAAAATCTGAATGACGTTCACAAAACAAAGATGTGTGAGACATAAAATACGATTTGTGATGAAAATCAGATGCTCCTAGTTTTTAATTTCGATCTCATTTTGAGTGGGGATATCTCCAAAACTATAACGGCATAATCAGCATCGCACATGGAACTTTAGAGTACTACATGTCAAAGCGTTTTCAAGAATGTTCAACTTAATGAATTTTCCTTCAAAAATTCTCGAAACACTGTTACTTAATACTTTAAACAAGTTCAACTTCATTTGGTTTGCTCTAATAGCCAACCAAATGTCTACCAAATGTACACAGTCCTGCCTCATTATGCCCAAACAATCAAATTTATAAATCTGAAGGTGCAAATTTGTGCTTCAAATGACCAACATCACTCTTTTAGAAGTTTTGAAAAATTACATGTGGAGTTGCACTTTGGTCCATTTTGTGTAGAACATGCCTTATGCTAATTCTGTGTACAAGGGGAAGTGGAGTAATCCAGGCAAGTCATTGTGCATGTCATAATCAGTAACATGTACATCTTTTCTTGCAGGACCAAAGGGTTCCCGCTGATATGGTGTTCCTGAGGACAACAGAAAAAAACGGTAAATCTGTTATTACAAATCAAACTATGTATTTTGTTGTGATAACTAATGTTGTGTTAAAGTGTACATGTAGATATAGTGGGAGTTTTAGTGAGCTGCGAAGCAAATTCGAGCCTATGTAATACCGATTTCTTTCCTTCTTTCTATTTGGGCAGCCATCCACCTAATGTTAACATTTGTTTATGGGTAATTGTTCATGCACATGTATGTTTCATTTGTGCTTGTTTGTTTCAATGTTGGGCTTTATCAGTGTCAGACCTTTATGTGGGATTATTGCTTTGAAGTGTCGTTTACATATTTATGTAAGAAATTTAACTCCAAAACATTTTCTATTGTTCCATACATATTGTGTCATCCTGTATTTATGCACACATATATACATTGTAGGTCTATGCAAACACATAAAGGAGGGGATGGGAGACAGGTTGAGATGGTGATATAAGAGGACAGAGTGGAGATGGATGGGATAATGGGGTGAGGGCAGAGGAGAGGATGGATAGGTTGGTGGAATTGAGGCAGAGCAGATGGATGGGATTGGGGGGTGGAGTAAAAGATGGATGGGATGACGGAAAGGGGGCAGAGCAGGAGATGGATGGGATTGGGGACCGAGTAAGAAATGGATAAGATGATGAGATGGTGTTGGAATGGGAGATAGATGGGATAACGGGGTAAGGCTGATTACAGGATAGGGCTGGAACCTTTAAAGTGCCAATTCATTAAAATCAATAATGCAGTTCATCTGTCAGCCTTTTTGGCTTTTCTGCAAGTTGCAGAAAAAGCATTCTTTTTGTCAAGATTTTAGTTCTTCTCCCTTTTCTTCCCCCAAATCCATTCACTCTGTGCATGGTTTTTCTACCCTCAACTTTAGTCCCTTTGCGAGGTGGCATCTTTGCGAAGCTTACTTACAGCAAAGACCGAGTAGCAAAGATGTGCCTCCAAGTATGACGTCATGATGATGTGTCACATGACAAGCCCTCAAAGTTGAATTCTTTGCAGGCTTGTATCTCCAGTATCATAAATCTGATCTTAGTAAATCTTGGTACAGACACAAAGCAAGATGAGTTATATATGAAAATTGGGGTAACGTATTGATGATATCAACTGATAACTTAAGATTTTTCAAAATCTGTTTTAACATTCTTGACATTTCTTTTTGACAACATGAGTTTCTTTTCAAAATTTTTTAGCATTACCTCGGGTAGGCTAAGTAAATGTTTAGGTTGTTTGGAAAATGTTGTGACGTCATGATGACGTTACCAAAAAGTATGATTTTTTATTCTGGATACTAAACAAAGTTGGATGGACACTGGGTGGGTAGATAGTCGACTCTAGATTATGTTTGCAAAGTTACACCACCATAAGTTCATCCATTGGTTTCTTATTAATTTTTGAAACTCTATTTGTAAACAGCTGTGCATGTTAGTGCGCAGTCTATTTTCCTCTACTTGTTACTTAGAAACGCTGTAGATTAGTAATGTATTTCCACATATCATTTCTTGTGATACATTGAGGTTAGAATTCATAATTACATTTCAAGTATATGAAGTTTCAGGGTGATTAATATCATGTCGTTGTTTTTGTCGACGTTTGAGCCACTTTCCGTGGGTCGCTGTACCTGGTGACCTTCTCCAAAGCTTGTGGTCCACGCAATGTGCATCATTTGGCCTGGCCCTCCCAGGCCCAGCGGCTGGCCATGCTAACGCTGCACCACGTCACTCTGGGCTTTTGTGCCGGTGGAGTTTCGCTTAGCATGTGGTCATGTCAGCTCTGCGGTGATATGTGGTCCTATACATGACAACAGGCGTACATGTACACAAAATTTCGGAATTGCTATGGTAAGTAAAAGGAACACATCTGTCTGAATGTAATGATATAAAATATGTTGAGAATGACTGTTTCATCAGCAGGCTAATGTTTTAACTTTTTAAAATCCTGTTTAGTGTCTTTAGGTTGGTCATGTTTTGCTAGCAGGCCTAGCCCAAAATGGCCAGCTTTACTGCACAAATCTGTCGCTGGAGTGAATTGGAATGACAGGTGGTGGTAGCGTGGATCGACAGATTTTGCACGTGATCAACCAATGATATGTCAGCACAAGAATCACATGACGTATATTGACACAACTGTTTTTGCGTGTCTTTTCATGAATTGAATTGTTGTGTTGATACTGACACCCACAATATGTTTGACATGGGTTCATTCTGCAGGCCATACATGTACAGTGTACCTGTACATGTTCATGCATGAGTCATAATTATAGGCACATCTGAACACAAAATTATGAACAAACACATGTGGTATTGCATGGCAACTCTGTATTGCGGATGTGTTTTTTAATTTCGCAGCGTTATTTCATGAAAGTGTTAGTACTTGAAATAATGTCTATTGCTCTAAATTGGTCATGTGCAGTGACTGGACTTTGCATGTTTGCCATGGTTGGGAGATCAGTACAGTCACGTAATCATATTATGCTACATGTATTAGTTGATCCTGTATGAATCTCCTTAACTTTGTTTTTTGAATCTTCTGCAACCAACAGTAGAAGGGAAGGAAGTCAGCTGATGACAGAATTATGGGCATGTTAAAATCAACGGATTGCGCAAAGCTCAAGTGATCGTTCAGAATACAAATTGCACTCAAGAAAATATACTGAGCTGCATGGCCTTATCCTTCATCTTTTTTTCTAGTATTACGAAACTTGTGTGATTGACTCAAAAAAACTTATTCCAATTTTGTTTGGTCTGAGATAATTTTCCCAGTGTTGCACAAAACAGTGAAATAACTGCAACCTCTGGAAAAACCTTTCACTAATGAATGAGGTCCTTGTAATATTTAGAATTAACAACTATGCATGTGCATATATTCATCATTTTTAAAAATACTGCATGTATTGACAACACAGTTTTTATTTTAATTTTTTTCAGCTGGTGTAAATGTTAGCAGCCAGTGGGGAGGTACGTTTTAACTGAAGGACCCTCATCATGATAACATGTCAGCCCACCTAGCAGTGAGGATCTCACTTGAAAGATGATGGTCATAAGTGTGACAGGGTGAAAAGTGCAATGGTCCTTTTTTGGCAAAAACACATGTACATGTAGCTGCAAGAAATATCGAACTTTGAAATGTTACATTTTGATTCAGGGAAGCCATTGTATGTCATGCATTTATGAGTGTCATTGTAAGAATTAAATATAAAGAAACCTTTTTCCCAAGGAAAGTCTCCATGACTTCATAAGCATTCCTTCCTTTTTGGCACATACAGGTGTTTAAAGTAACTTCATAATGCTTATACCTTCTAAGGCTATGTGAAGGACAAAACACATTCCCTGCTTTTAAGCTTTAATTGAATTTAGTCTGTTTTGTTTGACTTGAGCATAGAAAAAATCTTGAGCAATAAAATACTGAATCCACCTCCGAATTAAGGAATGTTTAAAATCCCTTCAATTCCCTCTAAGAGAGGTGTTTATACATTCACTTTGGCCAAATTTCATTGAAGTTAGTTTCCAAAATGTTGGTACTTGCTAGGGATCAACCGATGATCGGATCAGCAACATTGGCAAAATTTGACCTTCCCTGCCGATATGAGTGCTGATGTTAACTTGAAGAAAGGAGCAAACTCTGCACTCAGTTTAAGCGAACAAAAATCTCATTTTTTTTTTTATGAGCATGAATACAAGCTTTGTTTTTCTCATTTGGTGTGATAAATGAACGGTTATACAATGGTTAAACCCATGTAAAGTATCCCCAAAAATTACACCTACATGTACACAATCCATGCCGCAACAACTCAATGCACGGAACGCAGCCCCAGAGAGCAGTCAGTGTACATGTGCACTGTTGCCATTCACAGCCATTAAAACAGCCAGGGAACTACACCATGTTGTGGCACCATGCACAAGGTGCTGTGTGACCAGTCTCAAGGCAGCCCATGATTTAGCCTTTATTCAAGGCACACATGGCTACCTGAACACACGACGTGCACCTCTACCATTGGCATGCATGACGAAGACACCAACGCAATGGTGCAGCAGTGCCATGTGCGCCTTTAGTCAAGGCTACCGTGATACAGCCCAAAGTGCTGTGTCTATTCTGATTGTACATGTACACGAAGACACCAACGCAATGGTGCAGCAGTGCCATGTGCGCCTTTAGTCAAGGCTACCGTGATACAGCCCAAAGTGCTGTGTCTATTCTGATTGTACATGTAAGCACCGCATGGGTTTGTGTGATTGGTTACGTCAGTATCATGCGAGCGGCAATCGATGTAAACAATTCACACGATTTATTCTCTCAACAGTGTTGTGAAGGCAAAAACTAATCCTATTTCCGGTAATGTGTAAAATGACATTTTAAGGGAGTACACTGATTTTGTGTTGTTATTGGGCCTACATCCTGTTAAGGTTATGTTTCAGTTATTGTTGGTAAAATTTCGGATCTGATTGGATATCAGCTGATATTCCGATTAAAACATTGGACATCGGATTGGAAGTTAACACATCGGTGATCCCTAGTAATTGAAGAAACACAACATTTTGTTTGTTTACTGAAAGTTCCATCACATGAATTTGCACTTTCAACCTTTTCAAGAGGTCAGAATGGACTACCTCTTGTGCACAAAATACTATTCAATATACATGTAGGAAGAGCTCAACACAGAGCGTTTTCTTTCAAAAATCTACAGGCATGTTTTCCTTAAACAACCCTCTTCACCTCTTTTTGGTTATTTTTATGTCAAAGATCTTGAGTCTTATTTAGACAAATAATTGAAAGATTTATATTCCTATCCCTGTTTTTCTGAATAAAGTGACTGAAAATGATTGTGTACATTTTATTTGGAGTACCTCTGCCTATTTTTGTGACAGAAGGTAATGTGGGTGATGCCAAAATTAAGGACTACGGTGGTTTAGCTACTCAAACAGTCACTACATATGCAAATTTCCCAGGTGCCTTTTCTTTTCCTCTGAAAAGATTTGATCACCTGTGGTGCACCTTGACCTCCAACA